GCAGGACAGTACGGTGTGAATCATGCAACAGTGGCAGGTGTTGTTGTCTTGCTGGCTCAATCGATGTGAAGATTGATGTGTGTCCTGATCTCCAGACAGTATAGGTGGTATCGACAAAGACACTGACACACTTTCCTGACGCTCCCGAAGCCCAGCTCAACCCGCCAAGTTCTGAACCCGCTACAGTTTTAACCTTTATAAAGAAAATGCTAAGAAATCCAGCAGTGGTGCCTTTCATTCCGTGTACATCAGTATAAGGCAAGAGAAGCCGTCCAGCAAGACTCGAGAATACTTTATCACCCCCCCCCCCCCCCCCGATGTGTATCGGTATATATAACCCATTTAGCGTGATTACAATTCCCGCACGGCCGCAGAGGACCGCGTCCTGAAATGCTACAAATGTATCTCTCCTCCCCCCCCCCCATGATAAGATACAACACTGTAGCCATAGAATGGGATTGAACCCACGTCCCTGGACCCCCAAGCACACGCACTACGGACTGAACTAGCGTGACCTTAGTAAGTTTGCACTCTCATATGTGTTGGTGGTGAAGCAGCCGAGGGCACCAACACTGCCGACAGTGGGAGGACATCAAGCACCAAGTGTTCTGTGATGGTGCTGGATGGAGAGTCTTCGCTACGGACGCCCTCTGGCCCGACCCACCACCGCCTTCCTCCGCCCTCAACACCGCCCACAACCCTCTATGAAAGCCATAATAATAATAATAATTAAAATAATAATAATATTATTAATACACAAGGAAATTGCACTAACGTGATGTCACTGAGAAAATCTATTGGAGTAATACGGGGTTGGAACCAGGGACTTGGGTACTACCAAATAGCTACGATTGATTTTCTCACTGTACACATATAGTAACGTAGAAACTTAGTGCAATGCCTTAATGTTTGACTGAAGATAAAGAAAGACCCAATACATGTATAAGTGTATTAAGAATCCAATTTTGGGGATGCGGATTACATCCTTTATGTACTATGTACTACTGTAAACAGTGTTAACGATGAGAGAATTGTGTACAGTACCATAATTAAGGATATAAGCTGCATCCGAAAATCTACTTTTAATACACATGTATTGTGTATTAAATTGTGTCTTTCTTCACCTTCAGAAATATTAATATTATTATTATAAAGAATAATAACAGCAACAACAAGACTAAACTATAGTAAAGACTAAAATAATAACTAAGAATAAAGACTAATCGGTGAGAAGGTTCGTCTTGAGGATGTCCTGGCAGTAAACATCTGCTCCAGAGGTTGTCATGGTAATGTGACACGACACACTCAAGTGTGTCGTCTCTAAGATACCACAACGACACACTCAAGTGTGTCGTGGCTTAGACATATTGCGATATCAGAACCGCCTGTGTGTATAATGAGTTATCTTGTAAAACTGTAAAACTTGTAAAGCTGTGTTATCTTGTCAAACATTACAGACGAGTGTGAAAATGGACGAAATCGCAGAGACGAGTTGGATAGTAGTTGACTTTTTGTTAGGATCCCGGATATATATATATATATATATATATATATATATATATATATATATATATATATATATATATATATATATATATATATATATATATATATATATATATATATATATATATATATATATATATATATATATATGAACACGTTGTACTGAACGGGATGAGAATAGCTTGAGCTACCTCATCCCTTTGTGTGTATTTGTATCTCAATAAACGTATTTGAATTTGAATTGATTTGAAATGGCGGGAAATCTGCCACCAATCAGCGCCACCGACCCCACGTGACGGAAGCGAGAGAGAGAGCCTATTGGTCAACAAGGCAGCAGCAGCAACTCGCTTGACCTAATGGGCAATATGCACCCGTAAGACTTATCGTGTGACTCTGCCTTATATCCTCGCTAGAGCTGTCACAGTCTGGCTGGTCACGGGATCTTGCGCGACCTTGGTTGAGTTGTTCTTTCCTGTTCTTTGCCTGAGCGCTCACAAGAGCATCTCTCAACCCGTGACTGAGCGCTCACAAGAGCATCTCTCAACCCGTGACTGAGCGCTCACAAGAGCATCTCTCAACCCGTGCCTGAGCGCTCACAAGAGCGTCTCTCAAACCGTGCCTGAGCGCTCACAAGAGCATCTCTCAACCCGTGCCTGAGCGCTCACAAGAGCATCTCACAAGCCGTGCCTGAGCGCTCACAACAAGAGCATCTCACAAGCCGTAACTGAGCGCTCACAAGAGCATCTCACAACCCGTGACTGAGCGCTCACAAGAGCATCTCTCAACCCGTGCCTGAGCGCTCACAAGAGCATCTCACAAGCCGTGCCTGAGCGCTCACAAGTCACAAGCATCACCACAAAACCCGGTAAGCACCTCTCACTTCTCTTATAAGTCCTTGTTATTATCATGACTTCCTCTTGGCTTACACAAAATTACAATAAACTGTTTACCTAACTGAATTATAAATGTACGAACATGTTTATAAAGTTTTTGAATCTGAATTGAATTTGAATTTTGGTAGTTGACACAAAAGAGGAAATACTAAGATTCTAAGCGGCACCAACTTTTCAAATAACATTGAGTGCAACCAAACAGGAGTCTATTTTGAAAGGTATTATTAGGTAATGGAAATTTGGCAGCCTTTATGCCAGCTGGCGAATGGCGCCATTTCACTTAACACGTCGCATTTTCAACGGAATGGCCGATTTCCGTTTAGTAACAAATTAAAAAGAGTGATATTGATTCGATACATCAGTCTGTATACGTTAGGTAGGCTGCTTGGGTTCGTACGTTTCTGGTTGGGGTTAGAAGGTTGGATTTTGTACGTAGTGGCAGATCAGGAGTCAATACCACCCCACAGTCAGAGCTGTCAGTACCCCAGACTGGTCAATACCACCACACAGCTAGAGCTGTCAGTACCCCAGACTGGTCAATACCACCACACAGCTAGAGCTGGTAGTACACCAGACTGGTCAATACCACCACACAGTCAGAGCTGTCAGTGCACCAGACTGGTCAATACCACCACACAAACACTACTACAAGTTACATGGCGTGTCTCAGTAAGTGTCAGGTTACCGGTGTTATCGTGCGGATGCTAGGCTATCTTGTACATGGTAGGCTATCTTGTACATGGTAGGCTATCTGGTACAAGGTAGGCTATCGGGTACGTGGTAAGACAGGTAGGTTATCGCCTGCATGTTAGATTACCGTGTACGTTATGTTATTCTTATTAAGTTATCAAGCACATGTTAAGTTGTCTTGTATACGGTAAGCTATCTGCTGCATGTTAGGAACATATTAGGCTATCATGTGCATGTTAGGATGTCCGGCACACGGTAGGCTATCTGCAACATGTTACGTTATCATGTGCCTGTTAGGTTATCAAAAATATGTTAGGTTATCACATACAGGTTATCTGAGTGTGAGGCTATCGCCAACATGGGTTCAGCAGAGGCGGGGTTAGCCACACTTCCGCCAAGTTTCCACATTAATTTGGGTTCACTGCAGCTTAGAAATGCAGTGGTAATGTTAGGTTAGGTCAGCACTGCAGCGGTGAGCAGTGACAGGTGTCGCAGCGTTCAGTGCCTTGATGTTAAGGAGGTCGTTGTGGTTCACTACAATGTTCATCAATATTAAATAATAAATTCAATACAAGTTATACATTCATTTTTAATGATGTTAAACACTAGTTTTAAAGCGTCTAAATAATTTTCATTATTAACAAGTGCACTTTACTATAATGAGATACACTTATAAACAAGTACACTTAAGTATAAACAAACCATTATAAACAAATAAAAAGCCTCTATCATTATAAACAAATAAAAAGCCTCTATCATTATAAACAAATAAAAAGCCTCTATCATTATAAACAAATAAAAAGCCTCTATCATTATAAACAAATAAAAAGCCTCTATCATTATAAACAAATAAAAAGCCTCTATCATTATAAACAAATAAAAAGCCTCTATCATTATAAACAAATAAAAAGCCTCTATCATTATAAACAAATAAAAAGCCTCTATCATTATAAACAAATAAAAAGCCTCTATCATTATAAACAAATAAAAAGCCTCTATCATTATAAATAAATAAAAAGCCTCTATCATTATAAACAAATAAAAAGCCTCTCATTATAAACAAATAAAAAGCCTCTATCATTATAAACAAATAAAAAGCCTCTCATTATAAACAAATAAAAAGCCTCTATCATTATAAACAAATAAAAAGCCTCTACCATTATAAACAAGGACACAATAAGCACACTTGTTTATACATAAACCAGCAGTCAATTCCGTACATCATAACATGCTAAGGGAGTTCCTCAGGCGTCACCCCGGCAGTAGGCCAAGACTGGCGCCGTCTGTCGCCTCGCCTGGCGTCAGAGTTCCCGGTATCCCGTCCACCCCCTGGGGGGCGCCCCGGTGGTGTCTTACCACGCCACCCCCCTTCCCCTAGCATGGTAGGAGGGGCGGGGACGGGCTCCAGTCTCCTGGTAGTGGTGGTGGTAGTGGTTCCAGAGAATAAAGTCACGTGCTGGTCTCCTTCGCTGTCGCTCACGCTACACGGTGGCGACGCTGAAATTGGTTATCTGAGGCTCTGGTCTGGCCGGCTGGCGGGCGGGCGGCCAAGCGGACGGGCGTTCGGGCGGGCATTTGGCGATTCTGGAAGTCGACAGTTGGGGATTTTGAGGGTTATTTTGTTTGTGGTCGAATGTTGGTGATTAAGGGTTTGTTTACGGTCGAATATTGTTGATTTTATTAAATGATTGAGGGTTCTTTTCAAGTATTTTAAATCTTGATCAAATATTGGTTCTAGTGTAAAAAGTATTTATTCCGATAGATTGTGAACAATTCTGGTCAAATATTTGGGTAGTCTAATGGTCGTTGCTTTTGACTGTTGGAAATTTGTGTACACGATTTTGCTATTCCATTCTAGGTATTTCTTCTTCAGGTCAAGTACTTAGTGAATGTGATCTAGTTAGAACTTTGTTAACCTTGGGCAGGTATTATTGGTCCAGCATTGAGGACATGAATCATATGTCCAGCATTGAGGCCATGGATTATTGGTCCAGCATTGAGGCCATGAATTATTAGGCCAGCATTGAGGCCATGAATTATTTGGCCAGCATTGAGGCCATGAATTATTTGGCCAGCATGGAGGCCATGAATTATTGGTCCAGCATTGAGGCCATGAATTATTAGGCCAGCATTGAGGCCATGAATTATTAGGCCAGCATTGAGGCCATGGATTATTGGTCCAGCATTGAGGCCATGGATTATTGGTCCAGCATTGAGGCCATGGATTATTGGTCCAGTATTGAGGCCATGGATTATTGGTCCAGCATTGAGGCCATGGATTATTGGTCCAGCATTGAGGCCATGAATTATTGGTCCAGCATTGAGGCCACGAATTATTGATCCAGCATTGAGGCCATGAATTATTGATCCAGCATTAAGGCCATGAATTATTGGTCCAGCATTTAGGCCATGGGTCCTCGAATACATTAGGTTCTAACCCGTCCTCCTAATAGACCGTTGCATTTTGACGTATATTCTTCCTAAGGCCAAAAATCGTCATACTAGAAATTGGCTGCGACTCGCGAAATTGACATAGTATCCCGTTTTCTGGTTTGGGTCCTCTGGCAGGATAGGATAAGGGGGCACTTTAGTACGACAGTTTCTTGACGTTGTGGAACTTTAAGAGGACGGGGCTGTAGGTTCGGACAATTTAGAACATCATTTTAGGGACGTTGTGAATGCTGGAGTGGACGGGGTGCGTTACCCTGTTTTAAAAATTGGAGAAGTTATCTTTAGTTATCGTTAGTTGCTGTTTTTTTTTTAAGTCTGGTCGAGCACAGTGACAGCAATAACCTGTTGAAACGATTAAATTAATCAGACGGTTTCAGTCTAGTCAACAATCACGAGTGATTGTAAGGGAAGATTACAATTACTCTGTAAGAGTGAAGGAAGAACTGAAGCTTCCAACCATACTAGAGAAAATTAGCACCATCAGTCAGCCTTAAAGTTATAACCCTACATCACCTGCAGTGTTCAGAGACAAATTATTCTATGCCGTTAAACCCCTTATTGATTGGTGTAAACATACCAACTCACTCCTTTGGTGAGTAAGGAATGCCTACAATCTCATCTAACTAAACATTCTTTTTAAATGTAATCTACCTGTCACTGATATTATAATAATAATAATAATAATAATAATAATAATTTTATTAGGAAAAGTACATACATAGTTACAGAGTTACAGTACAAACATTCTGTTTGATTTAAAGATAGAGGTAGTACATACAATACCTAAAGCCACTAGTACGCATAGCGTTTCAGGGAAGGATACTTTTATATCTGTACTTTTTTATTTTTACTTTATCTGTACTTTTTACTTTTTAATATACTTTTTTATCTGTACCCACCATTCAAGTATCATACTCACCCGTCACTAAGAAAGGTAATGAGAATCTTGCTCCTCTTAATGCTGTAACACTTGACACGATTGCCTCCTCCATCGGAAATCTAAGATCCCACGAGCACTGTGTTTACACCGACGGCTCCGTCCAATCGTCTATTGGACGGACTACAGCAGCATGTCGGTTTATAAAAACAACACTTGCACACAGATTATCAGTGTCAGGTTAAACAACTGGCTGACCGTCACACAAACAGAACTACCAGTAGTTCCTACAACTAGTTTCCAATACATTAATAAACACAGGAGAAGAAATATTTAGTGATTCAAAGTCTGTTCTTAAAACACTTGAAAACTTCGGCAAAATCGACATTAAGAAGCACTTGCCAGCAATTATAAAAGACCTGATCGCTGCATAGAATAAAGGGTTTAGAATTTCTTTTTTTATATAGATATCATCTCACATAAATATAGCTCACCATAATGACACAAGCACTACAGCCAAATTAGCGTGTAACAAAGATGAAGTTGAATTAGACTTATGTATCCCCATCTCTGTTGTTAAGACTTTATTGTTCCAAACACTCAGTTCTAATAGAAGATAAATTATTGGCTCCCAAAGGCCTGAAAGCACTAGTATAAAAAGCTATGATTTGTTTACACAAATCAGCACAGTCTAGTGGACGTTTTGTGCTGCCCATAAATATAGGTTTCAGATCTGAACAAATCATAGCTTTTTATACTGGTGCTTTCAGGTCGTTGGGAGTCAGTAATTTCTTTCCTATCAAACCTGAGTGTTTGGACCAATATGGGTTTGACAGCAGAGATGGGGATACCTAGATCTAATTGAACTTCATCTTTGTTAAACGCTTATTTGGCTGCAATGTCTGTCTCATTATGATGGGTTATACTTGTGAGAGGGTATCCATACAAAGGAGATTCGAAACCCTTTACTCTGTTCAGCGATTGGGTCATTTATAATTGGTAGTATGCGGTTCTTGCTGTTAATCTTCCCGGAGAAGTTTTTGATTGCTTGAAGAGCAGACTTTTTAATCACAAAATATTATTCCTCCTCCAATGTTTATTAATGTACTTGCAGCTAGTTGTAATGCCGCTAGTTCTGCTTGTGTGGAGGTCAGCCAGTTGTTTAACCTGACACTGACAGTCTGTGTGCAAATATTATTTCTATAAAACCTACATGCTGCTGCAATCCATCCAGTAGAAGATTTGACTGAGCCGTCGGTGTAGACACTAATTTAGTTAATGTATATGTAAGATGTGATCAAATGGTGGAAGCTTCTCTTCCAAAAATCACCAGCAGCTCTCAATCCATTGAATCCATCTAATCTCAATCCATCCATCCACTAACCAGTCTGTGTGATGGGGGATTTTAGCCAGCGTAGCTAGCTTTTTGACACACTTTGTCCTGCCCTTCATATAGTCAAGGGCAGCTGCACAAATGCAGATGTGCCTAAGTGTATTAATACAAAAACCACGAGTGTATAGTGATGGTTGAGTGTGGGCGTGTGCTTAGAGGCAAACTGACATTTACTAATTACAATGTTGACAGGAGATGGAAAAGAGAGGAGAGCAATAAGTGAGTTTTATTCCAACAGAGCAGTATCAGGATTCGTCAAGAATTTACAAATTTAAGGAGGCCTGGTCGAGGACCGGGCCGCGAGGACGCTGTGCTCCGAAAACACCTCTAGGTTGGTAAGGTATCTCCCTTCGAAGCCTGTACATCTTTCAACAATTACGGCGGCTTTGTTTAAGTTTATTTAATAGTTTAGGAGCTTCGAAACTTTATAATCCATTGTTATTATTGTTATAAACAAGCTCAGAGCGCTTCGGAGCTCTAAACTGTTTAATAAATGCAAAAAGCCGCCATTTTTGTTGAAAGATGTACAAGCTTCGTAAATGTATGTGTAAATCCTTCATGAATCACCTGAAGCAGAGGGTAGAATATTGCTTACAATTCCTTGACTGCCACAGACTAACATGTAGGTCACTCCTGCTTCCTTCTCACTTGGAAGCAATATGTACATATTTTTGTCCACTTCGACCCCACAGAGTATGTGTAATTACCTAAGTGTAGTTACAGGATGAGAGCTACGCTCGTGGTGTCCCGTCTTCCCAGCACTCTTTGTCATATAACGCTTTGAAACTACTGACGGTTTTGGCCTCCACCACCTTCTCACTTAGCTTGTTCCAACCGTCTTCCACTCTGTTTGCAAAAGAAAACTTTCTAATATTTTTTTCTGCGTCTTGAATTTGTGTCCTCTTGTTCGTGACGTTGCTGGTTTCAGGAATCCCTCTTTGTAAATTTGGTTGATTCCTGTTAGTATTTTGTAAGTGGTGATCATATCACCTCTTTTTCTTCTACTAGTTTCTCGTAACTAGTTTTTCTCTCCTCGTAACTCTTGTTTGTCAGTTCCGGAAGCCATTTTGTACCATGCAGTTGCACTTTTTCAGTTAATGTGCTGTATGTGTGTGTGTGTACTCACCTAGTTGTACTCACCTAGTTGTACTCACCTAGTTGTGCTTGCGGGGGTTGAGCTCTGGCTCTTTGGTCCCGCCTCTCAACCGTCAATCAACAGGTGTACAGGTTCCTGAGCCTATTGGGCTCTATTATATCTACACTTGAAACTGTGTATGGAGTCAGCCTCCACCACATCACCTCCTAATGCATTCCATTTGTCAACCACTCTGACACTAAAAAAGTTCTTTCTAATATCTCTGTGGCTCATTTGGGCACTCAGTTTCCACCTGTGTCCCCTAGTGCGTGTGCCCCTTGTGTTAAATAGACTGTCTTTATCTACCCTATCAATTCCCTTGAGAATCTTGAATGTGGTGATCATGTCCCCCTAACTCTTCTGTCTTCCAGCGAAGTGAGGTTTAATTCCCGTAGTCTCTCCTCGTAGCTCATACCTCTCAGCTCGGGTACTTGTCTGGTGGCAAACCTTTGAACCTTTTCCACTTTAGTCTTATCCTTGACTACATATGGACTCCATGCTGGGGCTGCATACTGCAGGATTGGCCTGACATATGTGGTATACAAAGTTCTGAATGATTCTTTACACAAGTTTCTGAATGCCGTTCTTATGTTGGCCAGCCTGGCATATGCCGCTGATGTTATCCTCTTGATATGGGCTGCAGGAGACAGGTCTCGCGTGATATCAACCCCCAAGTCTTTTTCTTTCTCTGACTCCTGAAGTATTTCATCTCCCAGATGATACCTTGTATCTGGCCTCCTGCTCCTTACACCTATCTTCATTATATTACTGTGATAACGGGGACAAGATCCTGGGAAAACGAAGGCAAGATCCTGGGATACTGGAGCAAGATCCTGGGATAACGAAGGCAAGATCCTGGAATACGAGAGCAAGATCCTGGGATATAAGGACAAGGTGTCCAACCACTTGGACCACGGGGAATCGAACGCCGACCGTGCAAGAAGCGAAACTGCCGCTCAAGCAATCAATGTTTTGTAACCTTTCTAAAGTTAGGAATATAGTTAAGTACACACGTCACAGAATTCTGGGAATTCTGCCTATCCACGCCTAGTGGAGCAAAATATATACGAGTGGCGTTGTTCAACGTCTAATCAACGCTGAAGACGTTGAATGGCCCACGCTCTTGGGTCTTGTGGCCACTGGAAAGGTACCACCCTGGAAACACAAACCGAAACTGTCTCTATTTTCCGCTTGTTACAACTTGTAATAAAGTTGCTACAACTTGGCTTAACGTGTTAACGACGTATTAGAACGTTGTTACAATTTGCTATATTGGTGGTTATAACTGGTTAGATGGTGTTAAATTTCATTCGAACGTTGTACCAACGTCGTAGTTCCGGTGTGTGTTTGGCGGGCATGCAGAGTTAATTCTGGTTATCCTTATAGCAGAGCAGAGCGAGCAAATGGGTGATGATATCGGAAAAGTTATATATGTTATAGGCAGAAGTTGCTATAATGCTATATATTACATAATATATAGCTGCTATAAGTTGCTATATATATACAACAAACTCTCGTGACAGAGACTGAAAAGGGGGATGCTGTTAGGGAATGAAGAGGGAGAGTGAAGATGAGGAAAGTGAGAGGGTAAGGGTAAGGGGAGAGAGTGAATGTGTGTGTGTGTGTGAAAGAGAGAAAGAGAGAGAGAGCAACACCTATCGATTATGGCCGGGTCCGAGTACTGGGTAGGGACAGCCAAATAAACAACCAAGTCTTAACTATTCGCCCAGTGTTCACCCAGTGGTAATTGAGGACTTGGTTGTAAACAGATTGGCGGGTCGTGTTCCAGGGGGAAAACTTGCAGAGTAATTTTTATGATGAGCTGTGAGAAGGGAATGTTCTAAGACTGCTAACAAGAGAGAGAGAGAGAGAGAAAGGACAGAGAGAGAGAGAGAGAGAGAGAGAGAGAGAGAGAGAGAGAGAGAGAGAGAGAGAGAGAGAGAGAGAGAGAGAGAGAGAGAGAGAGAGAGAGAGAGAAAGGACAGAGAGAAAGAGAGAGAGGGAGAGACAGAGAGAGAGAGACCGAATGAGAAAACGAAGAGAAACGCACAAAGACGATAAATTAATTCCGGAAAAGCTGGTAGATCTTCAGATGAAATGTTTGTCAAAAAGTGAATAAATAAGGATAGGGAAAAAAATATCAGAAAAAAATAAATTAAGAAAATACAGAATTAAAAACAAAAAATTGTGCAGAGAAATAGCAGAGGCAGCAGTATATGAAGAGGATGAAGAATGTCAATGTGCGGTTCGCGTGCAATTGATCTGAGTGCTGGGCTTGCAATGTATATTGAGTAGTGTCACCACCACCACCACCGCCACCACAACTAGGGATAAGAAAACCCTGCACGCGAATTCCGACCAATTCCAGGATCGAGAATAATGGGTTGGCTTTGCCCCTCTGGACCATGGCGCCCCCCCTTCCCCCCGAGGCCCCCCATTCCAACCCTCTCCTCCTCCGCCTCTTCTCCTTCCTTCTTATTGCTTGACCTCATTTTATTGCAATATTATTATTAAATATTTAGGAAAGCGCTGTAAAAATTGCTTTATGACAACTGTATAATAGCAGGTTAGGAAGCGCTCAGCCAGTTGCCCAGCATATTGAGATTTTGTTGACAAAGGATGGACTCGTACAAAGATGCGCGGTGAGGCGACTTCCTATGTGCCTATTATGTTGTGGATGATGCTAGTATGCTGTCATATTCTGGCCAAATTCGGAGAGTACGGTGGCACGATAGAGCCAGGCAGCAGGAGGAGGAGAGTGGAGGGCCGGAGCGTGCCATGTGCTCGTGGGAACATACCTGCGCAAGGTGTTATAATCACCACCAAACGGCGGCTGCCTCTATCCTGCTCTCCAGCACCCACCGGTCTGCACCCAGAGCTGCGGGGCGGGATCTGGCGGGCGAGGGCGGGGTCTAGCCTCCTCTTGCCGCTTTGATTAGTCGGTAGGCGGGGCTCAGATGTCTTTCTGAGTTTCGATTGGTGAGCGGGAGGGGCTGGTGGCTGGTGTGCGTGTGCGCAGCCCGCCTCCATTCAGTGTGCGTTGAGCGGTGTTGTGAGTGAGGTTCTGCCGCTCCGCGTTTGTAGTGTCGAGTGTCAGTTGCAAGGTTGACCTTGATCATGCCGACCGTTTCCGGTAGCGGTGAGGAGGTCGAGTCACAAGATGAGGTCAAGGTCTTTAAATACGAAGGAGATGAGGAGGAGAGTGAGAAGCGCTCCTCTGAGAACTTAACAGAAGACAAAAGCAGTCTCATCACTGAAACAGAAGAGGTACGAATGTCCACCCTCGCGAATCTCTGCTCCTTGGGGCCTTCCTTGCCCCCTGTGGCCGTCGGTTCTGTTCCCCCTATGTTATTTAAAGTGTGGTGGTGACCCTGTGGGTAGTGCGGTGGTGGTGTACACAGTGTCAGCCGCCACCAGGAGCCCAGACGGCCGAGTACATGTGTGTATATGTGTGTGTGTGTGTACAGGTGCTCATGTGCAGGTGTCTGGCCGCCACAACATATCCAAGCCTCCAGAGTTTGGAATGTATAAGTATTATGTGTTCGAATTACTATGTGAAGAGCCTAGGATTTACCATAAAAGCGAGTGATTGGAACAGCTCACACCACCCCCCTTCCCCCCCAGAGGATATCACCTACGAAAAGATCATGTGTGTGCACAGGAGTCGGCGGCGGCGGCAGCGGCGGCGGCGACACACATGTTATATAGGACGGTGTTGCAGGTGTCTAGCAGCCGCAAGTACCCACCAAAACTTCAATTGTACTAAGATTATTGACCAGGATCTCTTTAATTACATCTCTTTTTCAGGGCAGCATGGTTCTAAATCCAGGGTTTAGCGTGTAGTTCTGTTCCAAGTTGGTATCCACATGTTGATATTTGTTATATACGTTCAGTCTAATTTTTTCCTTTCGTTCATCTACTAGGCTAACGAGGTGGATTTAATGTCTTGTTGTAATTTAAATGTTCCTGCTCAATGCAAATGGATCTTAGTTAATCTATGAAGTAATGTGGAAAATTTATAATTGGCCTCAAATCGAAGTATAATTTGCCATAAGGGTAGTGATTATTTGAATCGATAGTATATAATTTACGTGACGTCTTGTGCAGTTAGGTGGCAATTCACGGGAGTGAATGTCACGACGTAGTTACGTCTATACTGCAATACCCGCGTTGATACGTTGCAGGGAGACGGGTACCCACTTGCGGGTAGATGGGTGGGTGGATGGGCAGAGTCGACGACGGTGTGTGTGTGGGGGGGTCGAGGCGTCCTCCTGCTCACATTTATCGACTGGCTTTTAAGGTCGATTTTTATCGTGTTTCGTAGTGCTCATTATCACGCGAGCTGGTGGCTTTCACCTGTGGTCGTACTTGCGAGGAGTGTCGTTGCTGCGATGATAGTTGTGGTTATTGGCCGTAAATATTGCGTCAAATTGTCTTAATATTGTGTAGCGTTCTTAAAGTATAAGTCATTGAGAAGGGGCACTGAAATAAATAAATATAAAATTTAATATTAGATATATATATATATATATATATATATATATATATATATATATATATATATATATATATATATATATATATATATTTATATAATATATATAATAATATAATATAATTGTTTATTTATTTGTGTGTGCTTAAATTAGTTAAAGGAATTTTAATCTGAGTATTTTGTTCTGTAGGGGCGGGATATGGAAAGATAATTATCAGCATAAAGCACTAAGCTAAGGCCGGGGCAGTTAATAATGAATTTTAAGTTAATTTTTTTACATTAATATGGTTAAAAAATATTTACTTTTTTACAATAAATGCGGTTAACATTTGTTTTTGTTAATGTGTTCAGTTATTCATGAGGTCCCATGCCAGCCAAGGTGGTGACTAGGTGATTGTTGGAGACATTTACAAATTTACAAGACGCTTGCAGCAAGGGGACCAACGAGGGAGTTTTAGCCCATGAAAATTATTTTGATGGTACAGTGCAGTTGTAGTTTCAGCGACTGTGAAAGCTGTGTGGAGGGAGGGAGGGAGGGAAGTGGCAACGTGAGTTTAGCAGGATATATATTGTGTTTGATCACCAACCCAACAATTGTGTGTGTGTGTGTGTGTGAGGGGGGAGGGAGGGGGGTAAAGCATTGTGCGCCTGACACGCCTCATTTGTTTCCCTTTGTTGTTAAATATAAATCGGAGATGGGACACTTTGTACATGTAGTTGTAAATATTGCATAGTGATAACAAGCTAAATTGATTTAAAAAATATTTGTCCCAGGTCTAGACTTGTTTCTTTAATTTAGTGTGATATGTGATAACGTAGTCAGCACATATTACACATGTGATGGTGAAGATATGTGTTGACGTCGCCACCACAAGTGTTGTGATTGCGTGATATTTATTACTATGCTATTCTAGGAAAATATACTTTAAACCAAACCTGTGCAAGTTTATTTGTAACTGCAAATTCTGTAGAATGTATTGAGTAGAAATGCGGTGAACAATTTTCTGTATTCTGGCATATTGCCGTTGTAGCAATAGGTTGTGTGTGCAGTTTATGGTGTACCCGCCAAACACACACCGAAACTACGACGTTGGTACAACGTTGGAACAAGTTTTAACACCTAACCAGTTATAACAACCAATATAGCAAGTTGTAACAACGTTCTAATACGTCATAAACACGTTAAGCCAAGATGTAACAACTTTATTACAAGTTGTAACAAGCGGAAAATAGACACAGTTTCGGTTTGTGTTTCCAGGGTTGTCCTTTACTGCCAATGGGTTCTCCGCTAAGCACAATTTTTAAGAAATTTGTTGCTGCACATTTGACACAGGCTAATAATAATACAGTCCAGTATCTGTGAATCCCGTAAGCTTCAAGAACGGCATGGTTGGGAGTTATGTTGTGGCACTAATACTGTATTACCTGTCCCAATGTGACATCTTTACTTCGGAGAGTGCCTTGCGCTGCACTTTATGTATCTAGGCTTTCTCACATAAATCCTTGTTCTTTCTCGAATTGGGTTTTAATGCGTTCGTGGCTTTTAAAGATTTTATGCAGTTGTCCTTGTCCCCGTGTTCACCACACACTGATGTTAAATTAGTTACTTGTGATTTTATAGTCATCTGCTGCTCCTTGGTTCATTCATTCCAAGTAGCACGGGCTCACCATAGCCCGTGCTACTTGGAACTTTTTTGTTCCAGGTAGCGAATTTTAAAGAACAACATTTGAGAAGACCATTGTTATGATAGATTAAATGCTTGTTTGTTTTTACCAGCTGCGCATTTTGCCTCTTAACTTTCATTAATAAACAGTGTCTGGATATACTGTAGTGCCATGATACCCATTATTTACAGTAGTCGTGTCTGAGGCTGTCTTGGATGTGCTCCGGTACCACTGTGTACCAGGTTATGCCAGATGGACATACTGAGTCACCCATTATTGGTAAACAGAGTATGAAGAGTTCTATAAAGAAATATGAAACGATAATGCTTCGGGACACGTGTTTTTTTTTGTTTGCGTTATATAATGTGTAGCAGAGAGGTGCTCAGATGTATAATGTTAGCAACTTTATTTTATAGAGCTTGGATGATGCCAGGCTTGACGGATTAAGGTAGTCGGAAACCGTGAAATAAATCCCCGTCGATGGCTACAGAAATACCAAACGTCATCATTGGATTATGTAGACAAAGTGTACCTTACAGGCGAATAAATGCCACTTGCGGAACAATAATGAAAATCAGGTTTTGTACCATGTGCAAAGTACAAGTAACTTTAATATCGCAGCTCGGGTATGATTCGAGAATGTGGTCATATTTGTCATGGAATGATTATACGCTATTTGCGTTTTTTGCTTTTGTATTTGTAAAAATCGAAATTTAAATTATTTGGCGTAGGAACACTGCAGTCTATAGGAAAAAATATGGGAATACTCAGTGTTTTAAGTTTAACAGTAATATAGGTATAGGGTGGACAAGGGGGTAAAGTATTTTGTTGTGGTTGCTATTGTATAGTTTTACTAAAGGTTGAGGAGGCGGCGTTAATGCACCGATAACCGTAGCCTATCGTCCAGTCCAAGCACTTGCCCCATTTTTCTTGTAGGTGAATGTAGCGAACAAACACCGGTGTCGTAAATATGTCCGGGAGAACTGATTAATCACTTGTTACTGGTGAATAGATTCTGAAATTAGTGTGGTATTGTGATCCCGGCGGACATAACAATGCTGTTTGGTGTACTGTAGAGTGAAGGGTTCACTTGTCTTCTAGAAGATGGTTAATCTTGTTAACTGCTTAACCTTTAAACTTTGAGGCGTGACATCCAGTCAATTTCTTTCTTTACTATGCACCCCATACCCATCCCGTGGGCGTTGGTGTAAAGGGTTACAGAGGCACATAATCATTTTAGGAACTGAACCCTCTAGTTCGTTTAGCTAAGCAAATAACACTCTTTTGACGCTAGTTACACAATTATTAATGTTATATATACATGTACACCTACTCATACATATATATATACATATATGCATACACATACATATTCAATCACCTACACAAATACACACATCAGTAATCTTTTGTATCACAAGTGATTCAACAAGAGACTCGCAACAGTCACTATACAAGGCACTTTACTCTATGGTGAGTCACACAGATACTAGTCTTGCTGCACACACCCACCCAACTGGGCGGCAGCTTTACAGTCATGTGCATGCATTACCTACAGTAAGCAAATTTTGGATACTTCGCTAAGATTTCGGGCAACACATCGTTCTGAATGAAGAACTTAACACATTTCTTGGATACCATTGATTGTGCAGTCTAAACTAATTCTCACATTCCACAATTATTTTTTTGCGACATTACAGTCCTTTAGCCTCCATTGTCTCGATTGTTTAAGTTTGGATCGCAATAAACGCTTACGTGTCGTCCCAGGTTTTTTTTTTTTTTATGTCGGTGTTCCCCACATGTACTGGTAATTACATTAATTTGTTCGCCCTCAAGGTAGTATCTCTTGCCACAGATACAGTGCATTCCTCCCTCCCCGTATTAGTGGATTGGTGGATTTTATTTTTTGGGGTTGGTGGGGGTAGCGAATTTCCGACATTTTATTATCAGTGCTCTATAATAACCCACCTGTGTTTGTGAAGTAGTGATGGCTTTTGTGACGCTAAGAATTTTTTGTTTTTTTGTCACAATGTAAAATTTAGATGCGATCAAGGAGGATATTTTTGTAAATATATAAATTTGATTTGTACCAAGCATTATCCTTTTT